GGGTTGGTAGATGATTAATAGTATACACAGTAGTATCAAATGCGTTTGTCCAAAATTTGTGTGGGACATTAGCATGATGTAGCAAAGCTCGGCCAGTTTCAACAATATGCCTATGCTTTCTTTCGGCACGACCATTTTGTTCGGGGGTATACGGACATGAGGAACGTTGCACAATTCCATTATTTCTCAAATAATTTGCTAAGGCTTGATATTCCCCTCCCTAATCAGCTTGAAAACTTTTAATAGGACGACCAAAATATTTTTCAACAATTGTGCGAAATTGCATAAAAATTGAAAGGACCTCAGATTTCAAGCGAAGAAAATAAATCCATGTATATTTGCTAAAGTGATCAAAGAAAATCACATAATATCGATAGCCTTCACTAGAAACAACTGGAGCAGGACCCCAAACATTTGAACAAACTAGTTCTTCCTGAACCGACAACGAGTCAGGCAAAATTTAAAAACGAGCAGTACTTCAAAAGTCCTTAACGAGAGGAAAATATAGCCTACATAAAAGATCGCATCGACCAAAAACCTAAGAGCCACTGTCGCCAGCTTAAAATTTGAAAACTTGAGGGTCAAAATGAGCTCGAGTCGTAATCCAATAAGGAGACCGAACCCAAAATAGTTAACTATACATGACTAAGGGCAAAGCATAAGAGTCATTGTCTCCAGCTTCTATTAAAAGGTCGCTTCGACCTAAAGCGTAAGAGTCATTGTCGCCAGCTTATATTAAAAGGTCGCTTCGACCCAAAGCATAAGAGTCATTGTCGCCAGTCTACACTAAAAGGTCACATCGACCAAAAACGTGAGAGCCACTGTCGCTAGCCTAAAATTCGGCCATTCAAAGGTTAAATAGCTCGAGTTGATGCCCGACTCAGGACTGAGCCCAAATCAGGTAGCCTAAGTATGCCTAAGAGCGAAAGTACGTAAGAGCCTATGGGCCAGTCCAACGAGTCCCGGGGCCACATTGCTACTCTGAGGATTCCTACCAACGCGCAAACCAGCTTGCCCTGTCGAAATAAAGACAGAAAAAGATATGAAAGGTGTAAAGCCGCTAGGTTTTCTTTCATACACATGCAAGAAACGCAAACTCCAACTACAAACAAGCTTTGAAAATCATACATACAGATGACAAAATCTATGCCCTCCCCCTGGGGGTTACGGCCTGCCGATCTCATCCTCGTTGTCCTTAGCATTGGGCAAAAGCAACCGAGCACCATGCTCATCTGCCCTTGCTAGAGCTAATTCTTCCGAGAGGGCGAAGCCCCTATCACAGATCTCCTCGAGGGTCCTTCTTCGAGACTTGAAACGAGCACACTCTTCAATCCTCCCTCTGCGGTCAAGGACCTTTCTCAACTCAGCTTGAGCATCGGCAGCATCCTTTGAGTAGATGGCCATCTCCTAGTCAGCTTTAGTCCGGCTCATTGTGGCTTCCGCCTGGGCATCAATGATCTCAGCCTTGACTTTCGAAAGCTCGGACTCGAGCTTTGCAATCATTTCTGTCTTAACCAAAGCATTGTCACGAGCTATGCAGAGTTGAGCTTCAAAAGTAGGAACTTTGGCCAGAGCATCCTCCCCCTCTAAAGCCTGAGCCTCCGCCCGAGCTTTCAATTCATCATGCTCACGTCTGGCCCGACCAACTTCATCTCGAAGGTGCTCCAGGGCCTCCGTCTTTTTCTGTAACTGAAATAAACTAAGTATTAGCCCCGGGAACTAGGAGGCGGAATGCGTACCTGGGATAGAAAACTACCCTGGGAACCAGGAGGCGGAATGCACACTCACCCGGGACAAAAAACTACCTGCTCCTTAAGGTGGTTCTCGTAATTTAGGCTCCGGCCCACCTCATACTGCAAATGTACCAGCTCGACTTCCTTTTCTTCACAAAGGAGTCTCAGGGATCTCTCCTCATCCAGAGCTTTCCGTAGCCTGGCTTCACAACGAATCAGCCTGGACTTAAGCTTGTGGAGTGCCTGTAGAAGAAAACTCAATAAGGAAGGGAAGGCGCAAAGCTCGAAAAACTGTGCCGAAACTCACTACAAAGTGAAGCCGCAGGGCTTCCTCGAAGGCCGAATGCACACCCGCCAATCCAATCCCTTCGGCCCTAAGAGAGCCTACTCCGATCGAAGCACGGTCGCTCGGTGTATGCGATCCCCGGTTTCTAGTATCTCCTGAAATTCTATCGACGGAAAAGGAAGGCGACAGCAACGGAGAAACCCTTTTTCCAGAACTGGGAGCCACGGACACGACATGCTCGAATGATGCTTCCGCTCCAAAGCCCCTGTCCCGCTCCGCCTTACTTTGAGCGCCATCGCCCTGTGAAAGCACCTTTCGTTCATTGTTACTGTTCTTCAGCCCGGAAGTCGGCAACCCTTCCCCTTCTTCGAAGGAGCACGGCCTCGCCTCGAAAGGCTCTCCAATGCCTACAACAGTAAGATTAATACACGTAAAGGGCATATGCATCTCCACATGAAAGAGGGGAAAGGAAAGAATAGCACAGCACTCATAATGATATTTTGCTTCCCATCTGCCCCGGGATAAAGCTCGCCACTTGCGCTCCTCACAGGACGAGCGGGTAGTTAATTCTCGGACCCAATTCAGCATATCAGGAACGTCGCCCGGCGCCCATGAAACCACTTCAGAGGAAGAAAGGAAGACACGGTTACGAAACTAGTTCTCGCTATAGGCAAAACTGAGAAAGCGCGAAATACACCACTTACGTGTATGATTCCATTCCTCAAGGAATGGCGTAAGTTCCACGGGAATAATGTCAGCGGTCCGCACTCGGACGAAACGACTCATCCATCCCCTATCTCCATCTTCCTCATCATCATCAACGAAGGGCGTAGTCAATCGACATCGCAAGGTTAGCATACCTCGATGGTGAAATGGTCGGTACAGCCTAATAAGATGACTAAGCGAAATTCAAGCCCCGCCTTCTCCGCGAAAAATCTCACCATCAACACCATTCGCGAAAACGATGGATGGACCTGCACCTTGTAACTCGTACTCTAAGCAGAAGTCGAGCACAAACCTATCAAGGGGGCCCAATGTGAAAGGATACGTGTACACATTCAAGAACCCATCGGCACGATCCGTAATGCCCTCACCCGGGGAAAATGCCTATAATGTCACTTTCTCCCCCCATTCACAGTCTTTTCTCACTAACTCAAGATGTTTTTCTCCTATCAATGAAGTAGCCTTCAAGGCGTACTCTTGATGGTCCTGACGGCTGGAGGCGGAGCTCTCCCCTCCCTATCGATAGACCCCGACATAGCAGCCGTAGCGGTGATGAAATTCTTGAAAACTAGATTCACAAAAAGAAACTTTATGACTCTTACTAACAGCACATGTAGAACATAAATGAGAAGATTTAAATGAAGGGACGATTACGCTAGACGATAATGTTTGATGAACTGTAGGATAGGATCTATGAGCCAAACGAGCATGCCAAACCCCAAGAGATGCAGCATAAGAAGCAGGTGCAGATGACTTCCACACTGGAAGAGAATATAATCCAGCTTTATCAGGACTTGTGTGCAGTATTGCCCTCGTCACCAAGTCTTTAATCAGAAAATGGTTAGGAAAGAATTCAATTGAAACTTGGTTAGATTTAGTAAAAGAACTGATAGATAATAAATTTTGAGTAGCAGTTGGAACATGTAGGATATCATCAAGATTGAACTTTTTGTCAGAAATAATAACGGAGCTTTTACCAACGTGAGAAATAGGAAGTTTGGAACCATTACCTAATGTGACTTCTTCAGGACCTTGGTATTTGGAATGAATACCCAAGTTATCAAGGTCAGCTGTGAGATGGTGTGTGGTGCCACTATCCATTAACCAGTCTTGGGCAGAAGGGGTTCTTGCTAAATTGGAAACAGGTGGTCTCGAAGTTTTGTTGCCATTGCTAATTTTAGGAGATGGACATACGCGTGCAATATGACATTTGCCTTCACAGTTATGGAAAATAATTCCAGACATGTCCGAGGCTTGGGATTGAGTAGTATTGGTCTGTTGAGTAGAATTCTGAAACCCACGATGTTGAGAAAATTGATTAAAGCCTTGATTAGAGGAGCGTCCACGACCTCGACCCCCTCGGCCTCTACCACGTCCACGAGTAGCAGGAAAGGAACTATGAATAAATTGTGTTGTAGGTGCAATGACAGTAATGGCTTCATCCCTTTTTAACTGTCGTTCTTCATTCAATAACAATCCATTTAATGCATCAAAAGTAATATCCTCGTGACGCGATTCAAGCGACCTAGTAAAAGGACGATAAACAGGTCCTAGTCCAGCAAGAACAAATTCCACCAGATCATCATTAGGAACTGGATGTTGCAATGCAGCCAACTTATCTGCTATTGCCTTTGCCTTCTACACATATGACTCAATACTGGCATTATCACGACGCAAAGTGTGCAACTGCGTGTTAAGGTCACGAATATGTGGCTTTGATCCGGAAGCATATGCAGCAACAAGCTTATTCCAAGCATCACGAGCAGTTGCTGCTCCAACCAACTGAGGCAGGATACTTTCTGAAACAGAAGCAACAATCCAACTTAAAACAAGTTGGTCTTCATGTAACCAAACCGTATAGGCCGAGTTGGGTTTGGTATTAGTATCATCTAGGAATTGTGTTGGCATCTGTTTACTATCATCAATGTGATGGTTCAAACCACAAGCATATACCATAGGCATAAACTGTGTCTTCCACTGAAGAAAGTTTGAAGATGTGAGTTTCACAGGCAATTGATGTGCGAGATTTGGAGAAGGAGAGACAACAGATAGGCTTGAAGCCATTGAAGAGCTGCTGTTTTCACCCATGGAAGTGTAGAAAAAATTGGGTTGGTTTAACCTCTAATGGCTCTTGATACCATGTAGAAAACGCTTCTCAACTCATATTCTTGTGTGCAAATACATTAATATATACATGAGTTTCTTAGAGAATAAGACTCTAAAGTTGTTACTGCTAAGGACTCCTAATGACAGAATACTTACAACATCTTCAGGCCAATCCTAATATTCAGCAATTACATACAAATAGACTTCCACACAAACTCCTACGTGACATTATCCTTACAAGTATCTAGTCTCACATCTAAGTACCTTTGCACATCCAACCCAGAATCCCAGATTGTCATTTCCTTTACGTTCTGTAATTTCAGTCGCTGAATCAACAAAAGATAAATTAGTTCAGCGCACGTATCACAAGACCAACCAATAATTTCTCCAACATGAATCAAGATAGAAAGAAATCCAGTACCAGGCAGTAATGTTTCCATGTCAATGCTGGGATCCACGTCAAAGAAATGCCAAGCAAATTCTAAGAACAAGTCAGTATACATCTGATCGTCGCTAGTTTTTTTGTCAATCTCTGTTGTGAAGTCGAGAATTCTCTCTAAGCGTAGCCTTGTTTCAAGAAGAACACAATTACATTGTGGCATATCGGTCAACGTACCGCTCAATGTGTTTGTCAGCAAAAAAATCTGGTTAATACAAGATGAAGACCAATTGGCTCCCAGCAGGTTGCCAATAAGATGATAACAAGGATTAGGCATGTAGAACATTGTTGGTCTCTGAACTTCTCTCTTACAATTTTCATCGATGGTCAGTACCTCAAAACCTAGTTCCTTGAAAACTATGATATCAGCTGGAGACATGTCAGGATCGTATATTTGTATATTGCCAATCCAATTGGGAAAATCTCGTTTGAGTAGGAGAACTACGGAAAGCTGAAACTGTGAATTAAAACTGTATTCGATGCTTCCCATAGCATAGATTACCACCTGAACATGTGAGTAGGAGCCTAAAAGGCGAAACAAATATTTTTGAAATGTTTTGTTCTGTTCGATATCGGAGCACATTCCAGCATAGAATTCAGAGTTCTCAACATTCTTCATCACCAGTTCAATCTTTTAAGCAGTCTTTTTGCCTCATTTTGTATCTGAAATTCATCCATATCATCCATACACTCAATTTCTTCCATCTAGGTGTGTTCTAGTTTCCTACTTCAACTGCCATTACAAATTCACAAAGAACATTTGCACTAAATGAAAATTGATACTCTGAAGTGCCAATCACAAATATAACTCAAAGGAAAATATGAATTTCGAATTTCCTCTGTATTTCAGCTGGATACTTTTACTAATTAACAAGCAGCAGTAATGAAATGGCAACAAATGAACTAGTACTTTTTTTCTATGACAGTGGTGTCCGGGCTAGTTTGTGCACACCTGGACTATTCCACCGGGTACCTCATACTTTCCACCGCCAACGCATGTATTAGGTAACTCTGTCCAGTGGGGCTTAGCATATGGATGAAATAACCTAGTGTTTTAAGCATTCCTAGGGATTTGAACATAAAACCTCATGATTCTCCTCCCACTTCATTGGCACGTGGCAATGAAAGAACTTAACAAGTCATGAAATGACAAATTTGGTTTCTACATATAGACAAATCTATGAAAGAGGACCTTTTCAACACATCCAAAATTATACATACAGTAGGAAATGCGAGATCCTTCAGTTGAATCCGACCAACCACTATTATTAGTGCATCAACAACAACAACAACGTTCACGAACACATACGTATAATTTAGTTTTATGACCAAAACAAGTAATAAAAATACTAAGAAAAATACAGTGCAACATCTAGTGCCAAAGTATTTGGAATTGAAGAGCTAACTTAAACACCAAAAGTATGAAGAAAAGGAGAGGGGGAGGGGTTAGAAGCAGTACACTTACACCTCGATTCCGCCGCCGGCGAGATGGCTTAGCAGTTGTAGAAAGCTAAATTTGAACAAAAATAGGAAAATATATTATTTTCTTTTGGGATAGACTGAAAATAAAAGTGCGTGCTTAAAGCATACAGTAAGAGCAATAAGAGCACCAAAATGTGATTGAAACAGAGAAAAATGGAAGGATTTCTATTGATTTAATAACTCACCAAAATGTGATACAACTAATAAGAAGGAAGGAAGGAAGGTTCCAGAATTGCATAAACCCAGGCCCCTAATATTTCTGATCATATTTCCCTATACAATAGTAGCTGCTCACTGTCGCTCAGCCCTCAACGTATTATGTGTTTTTTGGCATTTTGCACCATACAGTACAGTACTTCTCCAAATATGTTGGGTGCGCATCTTTCCCTATTTGCTGCGCTGACAAACTTGTTGAAAAGCGCGCCACAAATAGTAATGCAGGTTCAGAATTAAAAGGCAGAATAGGCTTGGAGACATTTCTACTTGTTCCGGTTTGTCATCCCGATTCCTACACTCCATAAAGTTTCATCCAGACATTTTAACTTAATCAAAAGAACACTTTTAAACACCTCCGGAATCGCGTGATGCTCACTTGCTTGAATTGGATGACAAATCAACATCCACATCAGATTCTATGCCAAAAATATTATTTAACAAAATTATAATTTCATAAACAAAAAATAAAATTAAAAAAGCAAAAATTAAAATTAAAATTAAAGAAAACCCCTCCTCCCTTCTTCAAACCCACCCACTCAACCTTCTTAAAACAATAGCACACCTGTCATGACTCCTCCACCATGAGTACCACTAGTTCCTTTATCTATCCATGAAAAATACATGGGTAGAGAATTAAGTCTTTTGAATTTTGACTTAATTCCTCTATTCCAATTTGGAAGGGCTGTGAAAAAATTTGAAAGTTAAAACCATCGGAAAAAATGGAGGAGTCATAGAGAAGGGGAAGATGACATGATGGAATAAGAAATACATACCTAGGAGAAAATCTAATGAAAAAAGGGATGAAGAAAGATGAAGAAAAAGGGAAAGGGAGGGGATCTAAAGAAGAAGACGAGGAGAAGAGGCGCGCGTGCGCGGGGAAGGGGGGGAGGTGGTCAGAACGAAGGGGGAAGGGACTGAAGGGGGGCAGAACAAAGGGGAGTCGCTGCTAATATTTTTTATTTATTTATTTATTAATTTTTAGTTTTTTAATAAAGAAAAATCATCAGCTCACTCACCTAATGTGCGTGTAAATCACTCATTTTGTCCGCCTCAGCCATATCAATGCCACATAAGCTCGGTCAACGGTCAGAAGGGTTTAAAAATCTTGTTTTGATTAAGTTGGAGTGTTTGGATGAAACTTTATGGAGTGCAGGGACCGGGATGACAAACCGGAACAAGTACAAGTGCCTCCCAGGCAATTCTGCCGAATTAAAATAATCAAGTTACTCCCTCTTCGCATTTTATTTGACTAAATATGAATTTTGAAGAAACAAAACCAAAACAAAAAAAAAGGACCTTTGGCATATTAGTTAATTACTTAATTATATGCAGGGTATCAAAATGGTTTTAAAATTATCAAAATTATCAAAATGGTTTTTAAATTATCTAAGGCTGAAATGTGATTGTGTGGTGGAATCGGGTTACACGCTGCAATAGGAGGAATAAGTGTGATATATATTAAAGAGTAATAAGGGTGAACTCATGGGATTCCCCTGATTTTATTGTTATTGTTGTTGATATTTGACTATGGACTACCCCTGTATTCTTTATTCCCTTAACATGGTTAATAAAATCGAGGATGGATTCGTGTTGTTATATACTTAATTAATAAGGAATTCGAAAAGATTCAATTGGGTCACTGAGAGTTAAAATTGTGACGTCACTGTTTGAATTATAGTTTATATCCTTGAAGATTTACACCTAAGTGGTGCAAGATAGAATTGTGTAGTCTTTTAATCGCTAGTCTGAGCTAGCACTATTGGTTCCAAGTCCAGATAAACGAGAAGCATTGTCATAAGTGATGGCAGCCAACGTAAAATTAATCAATCCATAATAAATCATTGTTATACAAATATGAGCACTGAGAATTGATATAAGCGATTCCAACTTATTTAAGACGAGCCATTATTATTGTTGTTGTTGAATATTAAACCATGCAAGTCAAGGCGTGCATTCTCTAGCTCCAGCATATGTAAAGGGAACAAACTTACCTATTTTTACAAGTAGGTTGCAACTCTAATCCAATTCAATTGCATTCGTTTCCTTAAATCGTTTGTCTACTTTTAAGTTTATATCTCTAAGTGTATGTGGCCATGAATTGCATATTGTTATAGGTTAAACACTCTGTATATTAAATTAAGTGTTTAAATTTTACTTTGAATTGGTTTAAAGGAAAACGTCGAAACTTCAATTGTTTATTATTTGTTGCGGAGCATATGGGTTTTTTTTTCTTTCTTTTGGAATAAAGTAGAAAATAAGTTGTTCAGTCAAGAAAAAGAAAAAGATACATCTCATACGACAATTATGTGTTTGATCTTTTTTTTTTCCTTGACGAAAGTAAATCCTTAATTTTTCATGTTTTCCAACCTCGTCATTCCATAGCTATACTTTTACATCAGATCAGTTCAACAAATCAAATTGCAAACAGGGTTTAGGGAATAAGTCGTAAGTTGCACAAGTGAAAAGTAATTACTACTCTTTAATTCAATTATCAAGTAACATACGTGAATCTTCATTAGTAAAAACCCTTATCAATACTTTTTTTCTTTACTCTTCGTATTTTCTGACAGGTGAGGTAACCACATGCTCACAAGTCATAACCAACATGATTTGAAATAGAAAAAGTAGCACAACTGGAAAAGTTAGATGGATTGAAAAACACGAGAAGCAGGTTATGAAAATAGATATAGAGACGTAAAGGCGTTACGTTGAGATGTTAAAAAGGCAAATCTAAGTTTGGCGGCCAGCCTTAAAATCGGTGCAAGATTAGGAGGCAATCAGGCCTTCTTGCCTTTTAGGATTAATCTTTAAGTAACATTCTAAACATTTTATAAATTAACAAACATTAAGATATGTAAAAGATATGAATGAACCAAACCTATTAAGACCAAGTAACTTTATAAAGAAAACAAGTGCACACAATGAGTTGAGCTCTGATTCAGACCTCCATTAATTGAAAACAAGACGGCCCCAAGTATCATGGTTGACTAAAATGAGAATACTCTGTTAAAATTACAGAACCTTCCCCCAATAACATCTATAACCTCATCTGTCGGCTTATACAGTACCTTTTAGAGTTTTTGGTATCACTAAGATCTGAACTTAAATACAAAATCAGGCTGCAGTTTTTGCAATTACTAATAAACAAATCAGCAGTCTTCAGACATCATAGATAGCCCCCCGTCTGAAACCTTTCAGCCTGTACCTTTGAACTTCGCATCATATTCATAAGGTTGCTGCAAGAACAGGAAAAATATATTCAGAAAATCAAACTGTGTTTCATGTAAGGAAAAGCTCAGCCACAACTGAAACAAGAGCTAGGCAAAAACTGTCAAAACTTCATAAAACAGTTGAGCATATTCATGCTTCAGGGAAGTGAGAACAAAGTGCTTATGCTGTCAAAATTATTCCGGAAGTTCGCAAGCTGCCCAAAGTTTGATGAGTTGGGTAGGAGAATGTGAGGTCTAGTAATTATCACCGTGCTGTGAGTCCTTATTGGGGAATCTTTTATTTGTCTGAACTCACACTCCACTTCACAGCTACCTACCATTACTTCTCATGGAATATCTTTACAGAAAGTCATATTAAATAGAAAATATCTTCCCAGACATCAAAAAGCCACAAATAAAAGAGAAATATCAACCTACACAACAAGAAAACAGAATAGGAACAAGTCAACACCTTAAGAAATAGACTCATAGGGTAGAAATTAACGTTCAGCAACCACAACTGACACCCACCCACCCCAACCCACAAAAA